GATGAATTACAAACAAAATACTTAAATGTAAAATATTCCAAGATTTTATGGGACAAACTTAAGGCAAGATTTAGACATCAGAGGAAAGTCTTGTTTCCTTAATTGATGGATCAGTGGAACAAAGTAAGGTTCCAAGATTATAAAAGTGATATTGCATATAACTCTGTCACGCACTAAACTATAACATAATTAGAATTTTGTGGCATAGTTATAATAGGTGGAGAAAAGTTGGAAAAACCTTTTTTAACTTTTCATTTATCTCAAAGTTTTAATGCAACAACGTTATAGAATGAGAGAATTTTCGGAGTATTCTGATTTAGTTGCAGCTAGGGCTGGCAATGAACCGAACCAATTCGAAAATAGTTCGAAATTCGATTCGACAATTAAATCGTTGAACTAGGTTCATGAACCAAATGAGTTGAGTATGAGCGAAAAATTAAGTTCTTTAACTAAATGAGCTGAACTTGAACTATACATAGTTCGACTCGTTAGGCTCATGAGTCAACTCAATTACATATGAGAAGAATTATACTGTCTTTAAGATTAGGTTTAAATATTTACTCCAAATCTTAGACAAGTTTAATCTTCAATTTAGTAATTTTTGAATTAGACTCTCAAATGTATCTCTTGAAAATTGTGTAGGTTTTGAATTAGTAGACTTCGAAGATAAAGTTAAATTTCAATATGATAACTTTTATTTTATTTTAATATTTTATTTTAAAAAATATATTTATTTAAAATGTCAAATATACTAAAAAAATAATATATTTAAAAAAATAGTTTTTAAGTCTGTGAATCATGTGAGCTAAACCTAATGAGATGAACCTAACGAGTTTAACCGAACTGTTCGTGAACTTATAACGAGTCGAGTTTAAGCTTAAAAAAAAGTTCGTGTCGAACTCGAATTCGAACCAATTCTTAACGAGTCGAGACGAGCTGAGGTGAGTTCGACTCGACTCGACTCATTTCCAGCCCTAGTTGCAGCCCTTCTAGTAGCAGAACAAAATAATGAGCTCTTTATCAAAAATCACCAGTCATGTTTCATATGAACAACAACATATCCTGAGATAAATGCCACAATATTTAATCAACAGTGTGGTGACTATAATCTTATTAAAAAAACATGGTGGTTATGCTCAATTTGAGGGTCCTAGTTGGGGCGGATATCACAGTCGAAACCACTTTCATGGTCAAAGTCATGGACGAGGTTATAGGTTTCCCATATATGTCCAAACTAATAGGAATCGTCAAGGTATGACCAATTATATCCAAAAGGGCCCCCTCGAGGATTCATGCTGATTTATACTATAGATGCGGAAAGAAATGTCATTGGTCTAAGACGTATAGAACGCCAGAACATTTGTGTAAAAAAACAAGACATCTATAGAGGGAAAGGAAGTAAATTTTAATAAAATTGAACCCGAAAATGATCTTATCTATCTTGAGGTTGTTGATTTCGTTGAAGGAACAATGGATTAAGTAACTTTTTAAATAATGTGTGATGAACTTATATTAATTTTATATTTGAACTATGTACCAACTTAAAAATTTGTATGTTGTTTGGTGTATCCAATGTTTGCATGAAAAAATAATATTAAATATGTTGTGTTAATTTACCATCTATTTAATCTTATTTTTATTTTAAGAAGGTTAGACATGAAACATGTCGACGACATTTACATTTCAGATAGTGAAACTACCCACACAATCCTTAAATGTAAGAAATATTTTATTGAAATAAATTCAACTAAAGGTATAATAAATACAATATCAGGTCCTGCAGATTTGATTGAAGGAAGAGGTAATGTTATGCTCATATTACTAAATGGAACAAAGTTGATCATTAATAAAGTTTTATACTCTCCAAAAATCAAAGAGAAATTTGTTGAGTTTTAGTAACATATATCTTCACGGGTATGATATTGAAACTGCAAGTGAATGTAATATGAAATATATTAATATTACTGCTAATATTTTGGGAAAGAATAAAACTTTAGAAAAATTACTAAAATTGTCTTCTGGAATACATTATACTTATATACATGAAATTGAATGTAATTTAGTAGTAAAAAAAAATCCCAAAATGCTGACTTTATGGCATGACCGTTTAGGTCACTCTGGTTCAATAATGATGCGTAAAATAGTTGAAGTATACATGATCATCTATTGAAAGGTTTAAAACTTACAAAAGAAGTTAAACCATGTGAAGCTTACTCTCTTGACAAACTAATAAAGTATTTGTCAGGTAAGATTCAGACATAATCACATGCATTTCTTGAAAGAATTCAAGGTGATATATGTGGACCTATCCATCCATCATCAGGACCATTTAGGTACTTTATGATATTAATTGATGCATCTAGTAGATGTTCGCATGTATGTTTACTGCCAAGTCGTGATATGACATTTGCAAAAATTTTTGCACAAATAATTAAACTAAGGGCTTAATTCTCTGATTATACTATAAAAAAATTAGACTTGACAATACCAGTGAATTTACATCAGAATCATTTTATAATTATTGCATGTCAATTGGGATTACTGTTGAACATCCTGTTCCTCATGTACATACACAAAACAGTTTAGCCGATTCATTAATCAAGCGTCTTCAATATATTACTAGACCATTAATAATGAAAACTAAACTACCAGTTACCGTTTGGGGTCATGCAATTTTACATGTTGTAACACTCATTCGTCTAAGGCCAAATGTTGATCATAAACATACCTTTTAGCAACTGGCAATTGATAAGGAACCAAATATTTCTCATTTAAATATATTTGATTGTGCATTGCATATCACGATATCTCCATCACAAAAAACAAAGATGGAACCTCAAAGGAGGTTGGGAACATATGTGGAGTATGAATCACCATTTATTATTAGATATCTTGAACCTTTAACATGTGATGTTTTTAAGGCGAGGTTTGTTGATTGTCATTTTGACGAAACAAAATTTTTAACACTAGGGGAAGAAAATAAAAAATTAGAAAATGGAATTACATGATATGTACCCCATTTATTACATTTGGACCCATATATTACATCATAGGAAGAAAATAGTGCACTTACAATATTTAAAAAATCAACTTCCAAATTCATTTATTGATTTGAAAAGAGTGACAAAGTCACATATGCTATAAACGTTCCATCTTGGATTGAGATTTTGAATCTAAATGATGTAGCAAGTACATCTAAGGCACACTTGAAGCGTGACCGACCTAAGAGATCCAAACACAAAAATCTCCGAAAAAGTAATTAAAAGTGATCTTGAAAAGACACTAGATAATAATAAATCCATATTTGAAAAACGTGCTCTCGAATAAGCATAAGATGATGGCAATGAGATCATTGATAATGAAACTGAAAACAAGAGTGATCTCGAGATTTTAATTGATTATGTTAATACATAAAATTTGTGGAACCAATAAGGTATGTATATAGATGATGTTTTCATTCTCAATTGCATTTGAAACTATGAATGCAAATGATGATCCTGAACTAAGAACTATGAATAAATGTCAAAATAGACATGATTGGAAAAATTGGAAGGATGCAATAGATACTGAGTTAAATTCTTTTAAAAATCGAAAAGTTTTTGGACCTATTATGGCTATACTGAAATATGTGATACTGGTTGGGTATAAGTGGGTATTTGTAAGAGAACGAGATGAGAAAAATGAGATTGTCAAATACATAGCTTGTCTTATTGCACAAGGTTTTTACCAAATATCAGAAATTGATTATGAGGTAATCTATTCTCTTGTTATGGATGCCATTACTTTTTCTTGTTTAATTGGTTTATTAGCATTTAACAGTCTTCATATGTATCTTATGGATGTTGTTACTGTTGATTTTTATGGATCACATGATATGACATATACATGAAAATCTCAGAAGGATGTAAAATGTCTGAAACATCAAAACCTAGAAAAATGTATGCAACTAAGTTGCAAAGAACATTGTATAGGTTAAAACAATCTGAACGCATGTGGTATAATAGACTAAGTGAATATTTTCTTAAATAAGACAATGAAAATAATCATATTTGCCCTTGTTATTTTATAAGAAAAACAATATCTGATTTTGTAATAATTGATGTCTATGTTAATGACTTAAATATCATTAGAACTAATAAAGAAAGTAAGGAAACAAAAAATTACTTAAAGAAAGAATTGTAAAAAACCAGATTCTGCCTTGGTTAACAAATTGAGTATACTAAAATAGTATAATGGTATATCAATCAAATTATACATAAAGCATATTAAAAAAGTTTAACATGGACAAACAAATCCTATGAGTACTTCAATGACAGGTAGAGCAATTAAGGTCGAAAATGATCCATTTAGACTTAAGAAAGATAATAAAAAAGATTTTGAATCAAAAATACTATATCTCAAGATCATTGGGGCACTCATATACCTCGCTATATATCCAAAAATTAATATAACTTTTGAAAAGAAATAAATCATATATTTCAATATCTCTAAAAAGTACATCTCATTTGGATTGATTTTATTTTAAAAATACAAAATCAATTTTGCTATGCAGAATATTTATCAGATTATCTTTAAAGTTTATCGTGATTAAAGACATATTTAAAGCTAAATGTAAATAATCATGTAAGTACCTTTTAAAATACTAAAATAATGTTGTTAGAAAAACACGGTGTGTTTGGCTACGCCAACTTGAAAACACAAAACTGTACTAATCAAACCCTCACTCCCTTTCCTGTCAGCCTTCGCGTCCTCGCTCCTTCTTCTTCTTCCCTAACCCGAGCCGCCTTCCACCCAAACACTCTCTCACGACCAACTTTGTTCTCCCTTCTTTCTCTCTCAACTTTTCTATTATTGCAATCTTAAACCCTAATCCCTTTTCGCCTCTTATTTATTTATTCTTTCTCTGAAATCTAATTTATTCTTTTACTGTTATTACGAATGCCATTGATTCTCATTACTTCATCTTCTAAAACTCTGTAATTTTGGAACTGTTGTGTACAATGTCTTGCATCACTTTCAATGTTGGAACTTCTTTCAATCTTCATGGATGCATTAAGCATCAATTTTCTAGGCCAATTGGGTTCAGAAACCATTGTACTTTCACCAAATCTTCTACTCACTTATCAAAGTCCTTGAATTTAAGCTTTACAAATCGTAGTTTTAGTTTATTTGACACGCGAGCACGCTCATTTCAAACTGTTTTCAAATGTGTTGCTCAGAGTTCAGAGCCATCAGCTTCTGTTGGGGTTGAAACCAACAACAATTCGGGTAAGCATGACAGTTACTCAATCTTCTAATTCCCCTTATATTTGTAATTTTCTCTGTTTTCTTTTGTTATGAATTCTGAGTGATATGAACGTGAATTATATACTAACTTTATTGCATTTTGATTATTTCAAAGAAGAAAGGGTGGCTGTTCTGGTTATTGGTGGAGGAGGGCGTGAACATGCTCTCTGCTATGCGCTGCAACGATCACCATCCTGTGATACAGTATTCTGTGCCCCTGGCAATGCAGGAATTGCCAGCTCAGGAAATGCGACTTGTATCTCAGACCTTGATGTTAATGATGGTGCGGCTGTAGAGTCATTTTGTCGGAAATGGGGGGTGGGGCTAGTTGTTGTTGGACCTGAAGCTCCACTTGTTGCAGGTCTATCTAACTATTTAGTTAAAGTTGGAATTCCAACTTTTGGTCCATCTGCAGAGGCTGCTGCTCTAGAAGGTTCTAAGAATTTCATGAAACAGTTGTGTGACAAGTACGACATTCCAACTGCTAAGGTCTGTCTTCTTGTTCTGACTCTCATCAAACAGAGCAATTTTTGACTCTTATTCTATTGGAATGGTATTTTTGTATATTTCCTTCATGTATTGCATATTAAACAAGCTCATATGCTCATTTCTCTGTATTTTTTACGTACTAACACACTGTCTGGATGATTAGCTAAATTAAACACTTATAACATAAGAGACTATCATATAAGTGTTCATGTATAAGCTATTTTTGTAATAAAAGATAAAATAAAGGACTTTTCATATAAGCAGTAAGTTGCTTCCAGAAGCTATCTCAAAGAGCTTATGAAAATAAGATGAAAACAACTTGCGAACATGTCACAAGTTGTTTCCATAAGCTCACTAGTGATTATATCAGTAGATAAACTCAAGTTAGTCAATCCAAAGAGGCCCTAGGAGGATCAGTTAAAACCGCTTAGTGTTTTTTTTTTTTTTTTGATATGCAATTTTTGGCAAGTTGATAGCATTTTCTTATGAGCTATCTACTTGTCTTGTCCCTTAATAGCTCTATTAATCAGGTTGGAATATAGTTTGTGAAATGATGCATATGATAATTAATGGAGTCATCATGTGTTTGTTCTTATTTGTTCTATTTATTACATGTATATGGTGTTCTTCCATATCCTATTTGTTTGTCGATTTTGCTTCCTGGTTTTCGCCATAGTATTTACTTATAATGAACTTATTAGTGCAGTACAAAACGTTTACAGACCCATCCGCAGCAAAGCAATATATTCAAGAAGAAGGAGCGCCAATTGTTATCAAAGCAGATGGACTGGCTGCTGGAAAAGGAGTTACAGTTGCCATGACGCTGGAAGAAGCATATGAAGCGGTTGATTCAATGCTGGTGAAAGGTGATTTTGGTTCTGCAGGTTGTCGTGTCATTGTTGAGGAATTTCTAGAAGGAGAAGAAGCATCTTTTTTTGCATTGGTTGATGGAGAAAATGCAATTCCATTAGAATCTGCTCAGGACCATAAGAGAGTCGGCGATGGTGACATAGGGCCAAATACCGGTGGCATGGGTGCATACTCTCCTGCTCCTATATTAACCAAGGAACTTGAATCTATAGTAATGGATTCTATTATAATGCCAACAGTAAAAGGAATGTCTGCAGAAGGTTGCAAGTTTGTTGGTGTTTTATATGCCGGGCTTATGATTGAGAAGAAGTCTGGCAGGCCTAAGTTAATTGAGTATAACGTGCGATTTGGTGATCCAGAGTGCCAGGTCAGTTAAGTCATAAGATGCAGTTTCTAACTTACGTACTTATTACCAACTCTTTAAATACACTGTAGAAGGCTAGAACTCATAAGGCATAAGTGACAAATTGCTTTAAGATTCCTTAGTTCTCATTTATACACAGCACAGTCAGTAGTTTAGATACTGGTGTGATGTAATTTCTCGTGTTCTTTTAAAAAATGCGCGGGATTGTCCATATTTCTCTGTTTGGGTCTTCTTCGTTTGGTTTTCAAATCACATGTTGATGGAAATTAATATTTCTGCTGCTAAACAAATTGATATCTAACACTTTTAAAGCTTTCTTCTTTTACTCTTTAACAATAACGATTTAACAATGACATGCATATCTTATATCATATTTGAGTAATAGACATGCACCACACAATCATTAGTTTATTTACAAAACAAAAGGTGTGTAATCTTTGATAACGGATGATCACATTAACGCTATGTTTTATGTTACTAATATTGAAGCTATTATAATTTGTGCATATCATTTTTCTGTTTGGAATTTTACACAGGTCTTGATGGTTCGGTTGGAGTCTGATTTGGCACAAGTTCTGCTTGCAGCTTGCAGGGGAGAATTGAGTGGTGTATCACTGGATTGGTCTCCGGGGTCTGCCATGGTTGTGGTAATGGCAAGTAAAGGATATCCTGGATCATATGAGAAGGGAACTATAATTGAAAACCTTGAAGAAGCCGAACTTGTTGCTTCAGGTATCAAGATATTCCATGCTGGAACTGCTTTTGATTCTGAAGGAAGATTTATTGCAACTGGAGGGCGGGTTCTTGGGGTTACTGCCAAAGGAAATGATCTTGAAGAGGCACGGGATCGAGCTTATCAAGCTGTTGAGAATGTTAACTGGCCAGGGGGCTTCTATCGTCGGGATATTGGTTGGAGAGCCCTTCCTCGGAAACAACACGCCACATAGGTATAAACTATCGTGACAAGGCCCGTAATAGATAAATTGTCAACAATCAATAACCGTGAATCAGATTATAAATCTAGAGCATCTCCAAGATGAAAGAGGGCAATCCATAGTTTACTAAGCTAGTATTTTATTTTTTGTATTGACAGTTTTGATAGGACAAATGATGATTAGTTCGAGAGTGATACCGATTATTTTTAACAAAAACTGTCTCTCTTAGTGATCTTTTATGCCTATTAAAGAGCAGAAAGGCACCTAGAGAAGTTGACAGTGAACTGAGTATTTACTCTACGCATTAAAGAGAATGAGTATAATTATGCTTAACCAGCATTGAAAATGATTGGTGGAAGCAAGTAAAGGAAGGATAAGTCTTAACTGAATATTGTAATCTTGGTAGCATGGAACTGGATCCCCAGCACCAGCACCACACCTGCTGTTGGTTTTTTAATTAATAGGAAAATTGTTAGCACATAATTCGGTGTTGTTAGTAGCAGGAATCGAGCGGTACATCTCTGCTACTACATAATCTAAGATAGCTAACAAACACGTTAAAAAATTTCTACTAAGAAAATTGTCAACAATACTCATTCTAATACTATCTTTTTTTCCAACCTGTTATTCCTTAGTGCACGAGCTATGTTGGTCCTATGAGGGTGTTAAAGAGTGTTAGAATGAGTAATGCAGCAATGTTCCTCGATAGATTATGTGTATAAATCACAATGTGGAAAAAGATGACATTGACTTTGCTTGGTAATACTAACTGATAAGCTAGCTAGTTGATGATCAATACTTAGTGGTGAGACCAGGCATTATAAGGATTGAGTTTGACATACCAAATTTTTTTTTAAGGCATGAGTCTATTTTATGGTCTATTATAGGTTTTGTTTATTTGGTATGATGTTTTTAAATGTATTTGAAATCTATTTAAAAGTCTATTTCTATTTTATTTTATTTTTAAAAAAAAATAGACAATAGGACCAACAACTCTATTTATCTTGAATGACAAAGAACAAATCTATAGCGGAGCAATTGATATGATTTTACAAAATTATTGATGATCGGAAGAATATTAAGGTGATGATTGATGATGAGAAGAAAACTCTACTCTTGTTAAGTTCATTACACACATCATTTGAGTAGTTCTGAAGTTAGACATTAGACAGTTGTGAATTCAAGAAATTTTTAAAGGTGGAAGATTTGACAATTAACTATAACGATGAAGCCTTAAATGTCTCGAGAGATGGAAGTGAGTGTAGAGGGATGTCCAAATTCAAGAGGTTTTACAAGTCAAGGTTTAAATGATTTATTTGTTAGAAACCTGATTAGTTCATGAAGGATTGTCCAAAGACGAAGGACAATATAAAATTATGTTCAAATTGATGTCGTCTCAAAAGAGGGTCGAAATTGCATGTCTCTAACACATAAAGGGGGAGAACCTCAATACAGTTGTTTTGTTGCTAGTTTTATCATTTTCGTTTATTGAGACACTTTCATGATTGTACATCTCTGAATTAAGTTTGTATTGTTTCATTTTTAAGTATGATAAATCAATTGTTATGTTTGAGATTTGATCATGATGATTTAAGTCGATTGCCTAAGGTAATGAAACAAGAACCATATGTGATACCAATTCAAGTCGTGTGAGAAGTGAAATCTCAAGCTAAGTTAAAAAACTTGAAAATTTGAGATTTCTTGTGTGTGATTCAAATCACTCACAATCCATAACTCGAATCAAGCAAAACAAAGGTGAAAAGGAAAATTCTGGTAAGTGATTCAAATCACGGTTTATACATGAATCGAATCATGCAACTATGTGACTCAAATCACAATTTGTGCATGACTCGAATCACAGACTTACTGGTAGCCACTGACTTGTTTGATTCAAATTAGGCTTAACACATGATTCGAATCATGAACTTGTGTGACTTAAATCACACTTTAAACCTGATTCTTATCACACTTTTAACCTGATTCGAATCACACTCATATGGGTCACTTTTCTTCATGAGATCTTGTTTCATACTACTTGCTCATTTGATTAAAATCATGAAATATTCTTAACTCGAATCTAACTAACATTTTCTACCTATTTTCATGCTTAATCTCAAACACATATAAAATATTTTTGTCATCATTTTACAAATACAACATTTACAATTTACACAACTTTTACATTGCGTCTTTGTGAGAAATCAACACCCTCTCTTTTTGAAAGTTCAAAAACTCTTGCAAATGAATTTCTTTCATCTTCAAACTCAAGTTTGATTTTAGATCCTGATCATGAGAGACTTGTAGTTGATTGAACGAGATACCGTCTTGAAACTAACCGTTCTTGAAAATTTGGTTGAGATTTTTAGGTAGCTTGCAAGATTGAGATTGTTGTCATTGGTGCTGATAAATTTCAGTGAAAAGAAGGAGATTTTTCTCTCCATATTACCTTGGTAGTAACTGTGTGGAATACTATAGACAAGTTGGATTTCTTCTTAAATCTTCATACAGATCACCGCTCAAGAAATCAATGGGATCAAAGCGTGATTATCACACAAAGTTTGTGAATAGATTGGTGAAGCTAAACGATTCAAGAAGTGTAAATCAAGTAAAGATCACACATAAGAGTTTGACATTACGCTGTATACAAGTCAAGATCTAGATATGATATTTATTTTTCTCAACATTATTGTGGATTAGTGATTGTATGAACTCTTGAAATATTTGTCAAAATCCAATGAGAAACCATTGAAGAGTGGAGTATGAAAAGCGAGGACGAACACTGAACCACTTAATATCCTAGTGTACTCTCTCTCTCTCTCTCTAACTTTTGAATTTGGTTTTTGTAAGATTTTGCATGCTTTGGTTTTCAATTCTTAGCGTACTTTATTGAAAACGAATAACATACTTATCTTTGCTTTAAACACGAAAGTATTCTACTCAATTTCACACCATACGAGTGCTAAAGGTATGTAGGAGAGTCAATGATTCTAACGTCAATATGTTTGCAAAGGAGTTTGAACTATTTAGTATGGAACCCAAAGAATTCGTGAATTCCATGCAAACTAGATTTCTCCATTTAATCAACAAACTAAGCAACTTAAGTAAAACTTGTTCTAACAGAGATTATACTAACAAAATATTGAGATCTATGTGTAGGGATTGACAACCAAAGGTTACTGTAATAAAAGAATTTAACGATCTTAATACTTTGGATGTTACAAAGTTATTTGGTGATAAGTGGTTTTCGTATAGTTATTTCTAATCATTTTCACTTAACATTTCATCTCATTTTGATTCTTTTACTTCTGTTTATCACGTTTTACGCTTTGGTTATGTGTTCTTACTATTTTCATGGTCTAATGAGCATCAAAGAGAAAGAGAGATAAAAAAACAAACAAAGCAAGAAAAGAGTCAAAAATTGAATTTTCCCATACAAAATCCAAGGGGCATCTACGACCACCCGTGGTAGCAAGGGCGATTAGAGTTTTCAAAGACTCATCCCTAGTACATTGACTAGGGGCTTACTATGACACCCGTAGCAGGAGGCAAGACTGTATTCTTTTATTTTCTTTTTTAGCTTGATCCTTAATGATTGTGGCTTTTAGAATTATTTGATTTGATCTAATTCTAATGTAATATGTGTCATACCCCAATTTTGCTCGGTTTTTACTACTATCTTATTTTAAGAGCATTTTGTAACACCCCAAATTTAATCGAAATATTTTAATTTATTTATTTAATTGAGAATATTTGTATTTTGGTGTTTTCGGTGGTTTTGGGAATTACTGAGAAAATGTGCATGTTGGACTATTTATTTAATTAATAGTATACTATATGAGAATATTAGTATTATTATTGATTAAAATGAATATAAGAGAATAAGGATAAATTGGGCAGTATGAAGAGTTAGTAAGGGTGTTATGGGAAAAGCCCAATTTGTGAGGCCCAAGACTAAGTTAGACAAAATTGAGTTCTGAAAGGAAATCAGATTTCATTTTGTGTTTAACGTGAAAGTTCGTGGCCAGAGCTCTGAGCTCTAAAGGAAAGGCTGGAAGCAGAAGATCCCAAAGATTAATCGTGAAAGTTGCGAATCGACTAAGGTATGGGGAGTATTACCTTTCATAGTTTTCTATGTGTATCGGTCGATGTGTATGGTGAGATTAAACTTTGGGATAATTTGGGTTACTCGTGGGAAAAATTAGGGAAACTGATAATACGACTCTGAGATTATGATCGATGGTATGTATCGCTGAATATTAATATGAGAAGGGAAACCTTCGGGCTTGTGGCCAAACCTTTGAGACTGTGATGTTCTGACCTTGTAGGAATATCGAGGTTTAATATGAGTAACTCTGATGCATTCAGAGCAATTGCAGGAAAATAGTGTTTTAGGTAGTGCAAATGTTGTCAGATTGGCCTAATAAACCATAGATTTTGTGCCTTTATCGCCGTAAGACCTTAGGGATGATTTATGGATGTTTTGGAGGCATTGGGGAAGTGAATCGTGTGGACTTTTGGGTTGATTTAGGTTTCAGAGCGTAATAGCGTTTTGCTGTCCGTCACGACTTTTCGGTCGAAATCGTTTTGGACGTAACTTTTGATCCGTAAGTCCGTTTTGACCCCCGTTCGAAGTGTTGAAAAACTAATGAACAGGGCTATAACATAGTATAGATAAGGGAATTGGTTTCCCAATATTTTTATATCTAATTATGTTTGAGAAGTCAATTGTGTATATGTCCTATTAATGAATCATGTTTTGGTTCAATGATGTCTTGATGTTTTGATGTTGCGATTTTCCTGATAAATTACCATGAGGGTAACTGTGATAATATGATGAATTAACATGAGTAGGACTATGAATTTTATGTGATTAATAGGCGATAGTATGAGAATTACCGTGAGTATAATATGATGAATTAATATGAGTATGACAGTGAGGTTGCGTGAGTAATAAGTGCTAGTATGAGAATTACCGCGAGTGTAATTATGATGAATTAATATGAGGCAATGTG